TAGGGAGCCTAAAGCAGCTTTTTAATATAATTTTTTTAAGTAGAAATTTACACTACAAATTACTTTAAAAAATAATAAAAAATTTGTCCAAGACGAAGCTAAGTATATAATTATGGCTCTTGATCCATATTTTACGTATAAACTTTTCACTGATTAGAATCGTCTTCAATTATATTAGTCACTATATTTTATTTATTTTACTTAGTCAAATTATTTTAAATGGCTGGTATTAATTCAATAAAAAATCAAAATGATTAAAAATATTACAACTTTTTAAAATGAACAATACAGCTTTAATGAACGTAACTGTACATTTTAATTATCATAATGATTAGTTAATAAATAAATAAATAATCAAATTAACATGTTTTATGCGTCATATTCCAATATGCAAGTGACATAAATCCTCTCGGTAATTACACTATGCCATTCAAGTTCAATCATGGGTTCCACTTTGAACGGCCTAGATTAATTATTTCATTTTTTCTGTTTGGATTTTTTTTTTATTCCAAATTACTAAGATATTGTGTGTTGAACATAATTTATTTGAATATAATGGGAGCATTCCATGATGCAATTGTCATCATAAGTTTGAATATAGTGTCAAAATAGGTTATCATATAGGTTCAAATTTGACTTAAATTTGATCCATTTTGATACATTAGATCCAAACCTAAATCATTTGATAAATGGGTCAAAATTCTGGATACAAAATTGACCCACTAATAACCCGTTTAACCTGACAAGACACACCAACACATTCATACTAAAAAAATAATTTTAATGTGATCCTTTTGAATGCTGAAATGTACAAGATCTAAAATGTACAACTAGATTTTGGGTTGGCAAACTAATTATGGGTTAGTCTTAGGGGTGTCAATTTTTGACACGACCCGAAACACGACCTGAACCCGACTCGAAAAAATCCGGGTTCGGGTCAACCCGAGCCCGACCGTTTTAAAAATCGGGTCAGGTTCGGATTGACCCAGCAACCTGAAATTGACTCGAAAGTGACACGAAAACTCATATTTGACCGAAAACCCGGGATTAACCCGAAAATCGAATATTGACCCGATTTTTGACCCGAAAATTAGCAATTTTAGGCAACCTTCGGGTCATTCGTGTCGGGTCGGTTTGACCCGGACCCGAATCGGGTTGGGTTCGGGTCCGGAAACCTTACCCGTTTTTAAAAATGGATCGAGTTCGGATTGACCCGAACAGTTCTGAGTTCGACCCGAACCCGACCCGCTGACCCGAATTGACACCCCTAGTTAATCTGAACTCGAATCGATATTGAAATGGGTCTTGACCAGTTTATTAAGTGGGTCAACTTGAACCTAGAACTTTCGAATCAGGTATGGATCGAATTTTCAAATCATGTTATATGTTGACACACTTAATTATAGATATTTAATTTTTTAAAAAAATTAAAATTAAGTTAGTTTGCCTGTGAAGAATTTAATATCAGGTAAGATGATGAAACTTGTACGTTTAATATAGTCGGGGAGTGTATTAGTCAAAATCCTTGATGACATATTTTGTTGAAAATTCGGTTACTTTAATGGAGCCGGCCGGCCGCCATTTTCTTTTTTTGGCTAACCTTTTGCCAGCTTAGAATTCAATTAATAATTACGGATAAGCACGAAGCTTGAACTGTTAAGCAACAGGTCCTTTTCCATCCTTATCCGTCCAATTTGCTTGAAAATGAAGGGGTAGTTTATTTATTTTGCAAAAAGTAACTAAAACAAGTAATTTATTTTTAATTATTTTTTAGGCTATTCTTGCGATGGCTTTAGCATTTTATAAAGTTGATGATGAAGTTGTCATTAGAAAATTATTTAGGATTTATTTGGAACAGATTTAGACCATCATTTTTTCTGCTTTCAATATATTTTTGTAGTATCAAAAACTTTATAAAGCAATAAGAAAGTCGTCCCAAATGAAGCCTTAGAATCTGCTTGAGATAACTTTTTATTATTTTATTTTTCAAATTGCAATCATAGTTTCTATTTAGTTACTGTTCTCTTACTCTTTTAAAAAAAATTTGTGCTGGGAAGAAGGGTTGTCAAAATTTGACTCGGCCCTTAAAATTTTGGGTTTGTGTCAGCCCATTTTCCATATGGCCAAGTTAATTCAAGTTTGAGATTCTGACTTGTTTATAAAACCCAGTCGGATTGACCCGAAAACCTGAAATCAACCTGAAATGACCCAAGGGCATCCGAACTCCGCCGTCTATAGCGTGATCACGTGCTCATGAGTTGTGCTTGCCCTTCAAGGCATAATGCTCGATCCCATGTTCGGACTCCGCCCTCTGCACCGCACATGGACTTCGCCCTCCTCATCGCAGTGCCAGCAAACCCTCCTACAGACTGGCGCTCGCGTCTGGACTCAGCCCTCACACAACAACGCCAACAAACCCTCCTGCGAACCAGCACTGGTGTCAAAACTTTGCATCGGCGCACTCGAACTTGTACTTTTGTATGGACTCCGCTGGCTGTATTCTTATTTCATTGGTTGGATCGAGTTAACTCGGTAACCCGATGGGTCAATCCGAGTATGAATTTCCTTCCCATTTACAGAATCAGGCAGGTCAGGTCAACCTGTTTGGTCCCAGGTCAATTTCGGGTTTGATTGGAACCCGACACTAAAATCCTTTTTGACACCCCTACTTGAAAAGTGGTTTTTATAGTAGCCTTTAAAAAGTTAAAATTCCCCATAAAAATTTTACAACAAAATTTACCAAAATTTCTAGTCATTCCAAATATATCCTTTAGCTATTTTGATTACAAAAAAGCACTGAAAAACCAACAAGAAAGCAATAACAAATGAAATTGTAATTATTATCTTAAAAGCAAAATAATAAAAAAAAAACTGTCACAAATAGGTCTTTAATATATATAACCTTCATTCTTAGTCATATTCATCATAAGCTTTGCTTGGTAAGCTGAAATTTTAGTTGGATGTTTATCAAATTCTACTCATTGTCAACTGGCTTATTTCATTTTTTTTTTAAAAGAGATATATATATTTTTAATTTCACTCATTGAAAATATGAAATCAATATTAATATTAATTTTTAATTAGACTAAAATAAATGATGAATTTAATAAATTTTATCATATTTTTAAATATAACTTCTCACACTTCAAAGGCCTTTAATTGAATTACATTTCTTTATTAATTATTTCCACACGTACTCATTTTTTACCAAACCAGTTTGGTACAATAAGTTAAAGTGCAAAAGCATAATATATTTGATTCAGCTCAAAGAAATAAAAAAGGGAATCAGTGGAAATAGTTGTTAGTAATATATATTTGATTCCCAAAGAATCTTTCAATGAGGAATGCGATTAATTAATTAATACTCTAATATTTTGGTCATTGTTAGTATATTAATGACTATTAGATGGATGGATGAGAAGGTTCAGAGTCAATGAATCGCTCTATTAGACTTTGGCTACGTTTGTGATAGTTTTCTTATATTTTTTTAAAGCAACTTTTTAATACAAAGTATTTTTTTTTACTAAAAAACTGATTTAAGAAGCAATAAAAAACTCGTCCCAAAAGAACACTTTGGCTTCATTTGGGATTAGACCTGTCAATATTGGACCCGACCCGAAAACCCGACCCGAAACTGACCTGAAAATTTCAGGTTTGGGTCCAGAAAACCGACCCATTTGCAAAACCGGGTGGGGTTCGGGTTGACCTGGGAAGCCGAGGCTGACCCGGAAATCCGCCTGACCCAAGGTCGCATCGCGCCATCGCGTCCGCAAACTAAATTCCGGCTTTCCGCCGTCCGCGTGACCGGCGTGTCCGCGTGACAGTCCGCGGTCCGCGTGAACGGCGTCCAGGTGAAAACAGTCGTCCGCAGTCCGCACTCTGCAGTCCGGCATCCGCGTGACTGGCTACGACTCAGCCCGTCAGCCGTCCGTCGTCTGTTGTCCGAGTCTCTTCGCTTGACGGCGCGGCCCGGGTCGTTTGTCCGAGTCTCTTCGCTTGACGGCGTGACCCTAAACCCTAAACGGGTCGGGTCGGGTTGACCCGAACCCGACCCGAACCCGAAGCGGGTCGGGTTCGGGTCAGAAAAATCGACTCGTTTATAAAAACGGGTTGGGTTGACCCGAACCCGAATAGTGCCGGGTCAATTCCGGGTTCGACCCGAACCAGACCCGTGACCCGAAATTGACACCTCTATTTGGGACATCATTCTTATTGCTTTCAAAAGTAACTTTTTACTACAATTTTTTTTTTATTAAAAAGCCACTAAAATAAGAAAGCCATCCAAATGAAACTTTTTTGTGATGTAGTTTCATTTGATTATTTAATACTTTTGCTTAGAAAAGGATGAATTTATTAAAAAATGCTCCGATACAATCAGTATTAATAGATAATTAATTTTT